CAGAAGAACTCATATAGAAGCCTGAGTCAATGTTCAAGTGATTAATGTCAGGACGCGCACTACGTGTTGTCTGAGTATATATGTCTTTATGCTTCATAGTTTAAAAGGAAACATTACGCATCCACTTACAAGAAGAAATATAAACCCCAAGAAACAGTTGATCCGAGAACTGCAGGATAGAAGCCCGCATATAGCCCTCTCAAGCCCTGAAATAAAGGAAGCATCACAATCTATTTGGGATGAAGAACAAAAACCAAACGTACAATGTGATATAGAAATTTCATGCAAAACAAGTCCATAGCAAGCGTTTAAGTAGCAAGAAAGTTTGGAATATTGAAGCAGAGATTAATTTGGAAGGTCAAGTGTAAGAAGTGTTGAGAAGAATACAAAATCACACAGAACCAGCTGCTGATATTTGAAGTATAAGCAATGCTCAATTTTCCAGTGGCAAGCAACACATCATAAGAACATTACGTTAGGGAGCTAAAAAAATCAGCTTGTGGTACTAAATTGCCTCATGACAACCACTTTGTTTCACCAGTTGGCAAAGTCACAAGGACAAGAGAATTATTCATCAGATGTATGTTGGCAGGAAGTACAATTCCTTAGTTCTTTGAAAAGGGAAAATATTACTTCATTTTAATGCAGTAATTCAGGCCAACAAATGAGATTGAATCTCTAATTCTCCATAGCATTAATTTGCAATCTTCACTTCTTTGGCCTGTGGATAATGAATCAAACCCCGTCCGCCCCCAAAAAAAACTATTCGTTCTTAAAAGCACTTCATAGAAAATTAAAAAGAGGAAGCTGAATACAATCGTGCTATTTATACGTCTCCAAAGTAATGCTTGGAAATCGATCTGCGGTATGTGTTTTGGATTTAGGATGTAAATCTATGTCAAATGGCAGAATAATTGGGTCTATCCCAGGAAGATTTCAACCAGAAAGAGTAAGTGGCGAGCATCATTTTAACAAAACTTCTTCTTAAACCTGATGCAAACAAATTTCATGGCACTTGCACTATTATTTCCATTTATTCAAGTGGACAACCAAATTAATATTCCCCAGACCAAAAATTCGAGGGAAAAAGCATTAGAAAAGCCAGCAAATAATCAGAATTAAAAGTTGCAAACACAGAATTTACCAACCTCCATCCGAGCAATGGTGAGGATTGCGTTAACCGTGTTCTTGTAAGTCGGGAGATTCGATCTGCCATCATAAACTGCCATTTCGGAGACAATTGTAGCAAAAACGAAAGTTAAAGGAAATAAAAATTGAAACTCCAGATCGTTTGTTGACACAGGCAAGCTAACTTTGAGCGGTCATATAAGTAAGCTACCTTGAAACCGGGTGCGGACGACATCTAGAGGATGCACGGAGGCGACAGTGGCAAATCCGGCAACGGCGCCGGCGGTGGCATTCTCCCACTGCCACATATCCGGCTGCGACTTTGATTATTGACCCAAGACTTAGTCTTGCTTCTTTAGTTCATCGACAAGGACATAACCTGAGTCAGATGACTCGAAGCATAAAATTTCGGCGGCCTCTCGGCGGGAAGTTTAGACGGCGCTTATCGATAGGTAATTCACGTCAGAGACCGACGTAAAAGATTAAAAGTTAAATTTGGAAAAAGCTAAAAAGTTTAGAAAAATAAGGATACAAAATATTGATTCTTCCGTAGAGCCTCCATATCTTATCAATAATTAAAATCAAAAATGTAATTTTTACCATTTTTAATGAATTTACGAATGTATGTTTATGAAAAGTTGAGTCGTTATATGGTCTATTCTAACCTGATTTACCTGCTTTTGACGCTACATTGTGCTAACCTAGGATGCTACTCATGAGTTGGTCGAGGACAGGTTTCAATTACTCTTTTATGTCATATCATTGTGGTGGCATGAGAACCATTAAATGAAAGCAATTTGAATCTATTTAAGAACCTAACCAACAAAACAAGAAAATGAACAAACAGAATTGCATTAAAAGTGGAAAATGAAGCTCGTGATTCACAAGACTGTTCTTCCATGGGTGGTGTTCTAAGTTATTTGGAACCTACGAATACAAAAGCCAAGTACTAAGAAACATCAATCCATCAATACAATTTCAGGTCGAGGCAAGAATATGGAAAGTTTTGATAAAGAATACTCTTTTTAAACCCATGCCCTCATCCATCCAAATGAACTTCAAGACACAACGCTATATCTTCAATTGCTGCTCTGACTTGAAAATTGCAATAAAAGCTTTTCATTTTCTGCCGCATCCTGTTGGTAAAAGAACTGAATGGAATTACAAATAAGTAATCCCAAGTACAGATACAATGATTTGACTTGCACGCGTTATAGCAGCAATGATGATGAATAAATAACCGATGTTCGCAGAATAAGTAGCCAAAGCCATAATCATAAGAAACAAAGCATGCATAATAACATATAGAATAGACCACTGCAGCTAAAATGTGTGTTGTGCTAACATGTTTCAGTGATATTGATAAATATGACTAATTAGCGTTAGGTATTTGAGAGCTCTCTCTAAGAGTCAACTTTCTGCCATTGAACTGTCCTGGTCTAAAAGCCCTCGTGACATATATGAAACTTTGAAGTAAAAAAAAAAATTGATCATAACATTGCTCCATGTTTCAACAATGTTAAATAAGGTTTTTATTGACTTTACTAACGTTTACAGGAATAAGAATATTTCTACGATCTCCCAGTCAATTTTGATAGTCCAAACATGAGGTAACTAGAAGATGGATGGATACATGAGAATTTGTATGAGCTTATTTATCTCAACTAGTAATGATTTTGCTCGGAAAATTTGAACACCCTATTGTACTAGATATGCATAAGTCATAAAGCTTCAATAAAAAGATGAAATGAATCAAATAAGATGTCAACAACGTGTAGCATTCAAAGGTTCGTCATCTGTTAAAAATTATCGAACTCTAAGTTTATTTTTCTTTGTGCTTCCTAAAAGCCCACGCAATTAGGTCATTGGGTAGCTCCAAGTTATGCTACACTTACTGTGTTTGGGTCACTTTAGTCCACCGCTATCCACTTTATCTCGTTACATATCGTCACCACCCTTACGATTTAAAGCGTGTCTATTGGAGAGATGTTTCCACACTCTAACATAGAATGCTTTGTTCTCCTTTCTAACCGATGTGAAATCTCACAATCCACTCCTCTTAGGGGCCGCTAACACACCACCCGGTGTTTAGCTCTGAATCATTTGTAACGGCTCAAGTCATCCGCTAGCAGATATTGTATGCTTTAGTTCGTTACGTATCGTCGACAGCCTCACGATTTTAAAACACGTCTACTAGAGAAATGTTTCCACATCCAGTTTTGTTCTTCTCTCCAACTGACGTGGAATCTCGCACTTACATAACAGGATAAATCTTCTCCAATCCAAACTGTACACCCTTTCTTATCTCAACTCAAAGTCCTAGAATTTCTCCAGAAAGAGAGAAAACAGAGCAGATACTCAGGCCACTTGGCAGCTCCAGGCTAGTTTATAGAACTGGATGATCTCTTCCTTGACTACACACTTGTGTGTCTCGAAATCCAACTCAATCAAGGACCCTCCCTCAAGTTAGGCAAATGTACTACATTCTATAGAAATCATCATCATACTTATAACACTCCGGACAAGTTTAGGAGCTCCGGAGTAGGGATCAAATTCTTCTGCTAAGGATCATAGATAGGAACGTAGATTAAAGATCATCAAGATTGGTCTCCATGAGGCCAATCCCAAAACGTACCCAATTATTTGGAGAAACTGAGGATAACGTCTTGATAAATGCACAAAAACTAAGATAGATAATGTGGTCTATACCATGACATGCTGAAGATTGTTGGGAGAGGAATTCCACGTCGACTAATTAAGAAGTTGATCATAAGTTTATAAGTAAGGAATCCATTTTCATTGCTATGGAGCCTTTTATTACGATATTGTCTTTAAATGATGAGAGTTTATGCTTAAAATGTACTACAAGCCAAAGCGAACGTGAAAGTAAAATGAAAGAAGGAAGGAGACAGGAGTACCTCACTCCGCTGAAACTTTGGCGCCAACCTCCTTCATCTTGGCAATAATCGTATCAGCTTCCTCCTTTGTCACTCCCTTCTTCAGGAGCACAGGCGCTTTCTCCACCAAATCTTTAGCCTCCTTCAACCCCAAATTCGTAAACGTTCGCACTTCCTTAATCACCTTGATCTTCGACGCAGCATCAAAAGCTTCAAGCTTCACATCGAACGCTGTCTTCTCCGTCTTTTTCTCCTCACCGCCTTTCACTCCAGGACTGCCCTTACCAACACCTTGCAAGCCACCAAATCCCATCCCAGGCATCATCACCGCCATTACCGGCATATCCTTTACATCCAATTTGCCTCGAAGCACCTCCGTGAGGTCCGCAACATCGAGTAGCGTGAGACCGGAGATCTCATCCACAATGCCCGAAACTCTCTCCGAATGGGCTGGTCTTGATTCCGGTGAAGCAGTTGTATAATTCCGATGATTCAACGACGTAAAACTCCCGGATCCAAGAAAATTTAAATATCGAATGGACGGAGAATCAGAGCAAGGGTATTGAACGAAGGTTCTCCGAATTCTTGAGAACTGATGGGAAAAAATTCGCAGATTTCTCATCTTTGAATTATTCGGTAAATCGTGAATGTTCATTCAGAAGGTACAGTGAGACAATGAGAGCTCTGTGCGTCCATGGTTAATGAGTTTGGAGGTGGAATGTATATCGCCTGCCGTCGTTCAGATTCCGGGAAGAGGCATAAACCCTACCGTTGAGATTCAAGCAAGCATGCAGTAAATTCGCCGGTGGGCTTTTTAGTTGGGCTTCGGAATCAACGGGTCCATCACATTTCACAACTTCAAATTAGATTTTTTTTTTCCTTTTCTTCTCTAACCTAATTCATTAATTTTGAATTTTGATTCAAACCATCCTTATGAACATAAAATCTTAACATAATTTATATCTTTTTTTTTTCTTCTGATTATAATATTTATAAATATAAGAACATACATAGGGACCAATGGAAGTCGACAAACACAAACAGCTTCGAAATCAAAACATCGTAGAAATTAAAGGGAAAAAAAAAAACCATATCAAATCAGACACGAAGCTTCAAATAACGAAACCCAGAAATATTCACCCTTCATCAGTCTGATGCGCATTGGAATAACTTATTTCATTCTGGAAAACTACGAATCCCAACAAAATTTAATTGTTTATCTTCCTGCAAGTCTTTCTGATCTCTCCATTTGAGCCCGTCAATGGGGAAATATTGCCCATTTTGATCATGGATTTGGCGAACTGCTCGAAGAACACCTCGCTGTTGTCGGCATATTTCTTTACCAAAGCAGCCGACGCGTCGTTTCCGGTGAGGAGAACTTGGTCGGAGTTGAGAAGCCCTTTGAAACCAACAATGTTCTTGAAGTAGCTGTTGTCGAATTTGGTCGGGCTGACGAAGTCGAGGAAAAAGAGGTTATTGTCGCCGCCGGATCTCGGGCAGCGGTTCCGAAGCTCAGCCGCGTACGGCTGCGGAAGGGTTTTGTCGGGCTGTCCATTGCCGTTCTGGTTGTATAGCCTCTGCCGGAAGCTGGTGCACCTTGAATTCCCGATGGTGTGACCTCCTGTGTAAAACAGGATGAATATGAACTTAAAAATAGAAAGTTTTGAAAGTTTTATTTGATTTACAATCTATCGAACAAGAATTCAATGGTCAATTTACCAGATAAGGCGACAAGATCAACGATGTCAAGGCCCTGGTTTTGGAATCTGTTGAGAATGGTTTGGAAAGTGTTGTTTGGAGCTGGAATGTTGTTGTTGGAGCCACTCAAGCTCGCAGTTCTCGAGTCTTTCCTTCCCAATGGAACCTCCCAAAAGGGTCCACCCGTCTGTCAATAAAGTTCAATATACATATCAAAATGATTTGACCATTGAAGAACATAAAGATTTGCAGAGACAGAGCATACAATGACAGTGGAATCTCTTGCAGCCAAAGCCAAGATATCAGCACAAGAAACAGTTTGTGGGCACTCTTTCTCCAATGCAGATTTGATCTCATCAATCACCTCAAACCCTCTAGCCGAGTTCCTATTTGGGTTTGAATTCTTCTCGCTTCTAATGCTCCCACTGCTGTCCAGTAGTAAAGATGCATCACACCCCTGAAAAGAAGTCATTCAATTTAGTTAAACGGCCACTTTTCTCAAAAGTTTAGTTTAGAAGGATCCGAGCTAAAAAGTTAGTGGCAAATTTAATTACGAATCCATATTCTTGACAACCCACGAAAGGTTTTCACATCCTATTAAAAAAAATGTTTCATTTTCCTCTACAACTGACATGGCATCTCACAATTCACCACACTTGTAAACCTGGCGTCCTTGTTGGCACACCGCCTGGTGTCCAACTATGATACCATTTTGTAACGGTCCAAGCCCACAGCTAGCAAATAGTTTGTTTTGGCTCGTTACGTACACAATCAACCTCACGATGTTTAAAACACGTCAACTAGGGAGAAGTTTCTACAAGTTTATAAGAAATGTTTCGTTTCTTTCTCTATCCGTAGTATCTCACAAAACCTAAGTCAAAAAGGAGAGAGAAGACTAGTAAAATAACCTGAACAAAACAGTCATGAAAGTGAAGTCTAAGGATAGAAGCAGCAATACGAGCTTCTCTAGCAAAAGCCTTTGCCACAATGGATTTCACTATTTCCTTAGCATTGGGGCAGGAGTGGTCATAATATTGCGGGTACAGAGACCCAAAGCCGCCATTTCTGCTAGAGAAACAGAGAGGAGCCAAGGCAAGAAGGGAAAAAACAACGACAAAACTCATAGGCTTGGCCATATTGAAACCTTTGTAAGACCAAAACTCAAACCTGAAATGTTGCTGTGAAAGGAGTTGAAATGGGCAGTGGCTATTTATAGAGGAGACTTTGTGGAATGGTCATATCTGTTGAAAAGAGGGGACGCGCAAAATCATGGATTTGGTAGCTAACTTGCAGAGTTGTTGTAGTTTTTAAGTTTCTCTCCGGGCTCTGTAAAAGTCTTGTGCTTTATCAGCATGCCAAGTATTAGTTTCTTTATATTTTCTTCAGAGAATTTCCTAAATTGGGAGTTGTCATTGTCGAGACAATATTATAATCCATTAGTTTTAATTTTTTTTTTGTTAATCAAACCATAAACCTATTGTGAGTTCCCACGTTTGTTCGAGAGTGGAACGAAACATTCCTTATAAGAGTATGAAAATTTCTCTCTTGTAAACGCGTTTTAAGAATCAGGAGGTTGACGGCGATACGTAATAGGCCAAAATGGACAATATCTGCTAGCGGTGGGTTGAGGCTGTTACCAATGGTATTAGAGCCATACTTTGGGCGGTGTGTCAGCGAGGAGACTAGGCTCCCAAGAGAGGTGGATTGTGAGATCCTACATTAGTTGAGAGGTGAACGAGACATTCCTTTTAAGGGTATAGAAACCTTATCCTAGTAGATGAATTTTAAAAACCGTGAGGTTGACAACGATATGTAATGGATTAAAGTGAATAATATCTGGTAGGAGTGAGCTTGAGTTGTTAGAACTCCATTCTCGATTCACTTCCTCCTCAATACAATTCATACTAATTTCTTGCCAACTTAAAAGTTCACAACTAAGAAAGAACACAAGATCAAATTTCACCTAGCTTATCAGCTTAGAGCATAAAATCATTGCAAAGCTCGTAACAATGAATATGTCCATGAAATTTACTGTCAAACTTAGCTGCAGGGTCGAATAAAAAAGCTGGGAATCTTTGAGTTAAATAATCAGTGGGGGAGTTTGTCAACAGAGCAGGTGAGGTTAAAGATTGTTCTTCTTTTGACCCTTTTGTTTCCCTTTTGCACTTATTTTCTTCGTCTCATAATTAATATTTGGGAGACCCTTTCTGGGGGACTTTCAGTCCTCTCTTTGTTTGCTTCATAGTTTCTAGAAAGTAAAAGTAAAGGTTGAAAGTTCAAAATGGTGAAGGCCAGCAAGGCATGGATTCCTTCCAAACCCCCTGCACCTGTAAAATTATGAATCGTATACTAATTATCGTTCTGTAAACATTTTAAAAAAATTAAAGTGAACCAAAGTCCTTATTTGTTCTCTTTAATCTTGTCATCTAACCGAGCTTTGAGAAAGCATATTCTATCCTTAATTATGAATGGATGCAGACAATTAGGTCAACATAACCAACCAGATAATAATATGAGACAAAAAAGGGTGTGGGTAGCAGTTAGGACAACCACTTCTTTTGACCTTAGTTTTTCATTCCCAGAGTATCCTAAACTGAAGTGAAATGATATGTCTAATCATCTAGAGCACGAATCATATTTGTCAAATGGTTCTATCGGATTAAAAGTTCTGTTCAGACATAGTTTATTATTAATTTTAGAGAAAGTGATATAGACAACTTCTTGCAATCTATATGGTAAAATGAATGCTCTAAATCTTAAAGCTCCAAGCCAGATGGGTATGAAGTAACGTTTCTAAGAACACATATAACGCCCGCCTTATGATTTGGATAGAAATGTCTGACACGTTAATAGCTTCAAAAACTAAGCTTTACCTAGATCCCTTTTGGCCATCTTCCTTGATACAATGGCATGCAGCCAAAATTTTCTCATGAATTGTCCAAGAGCTAAAATCTGAAATGGAAAGACTTTCATATTGAACCATAATTTTTCTCAGTCGGTGTCCATGTCCGTCGAGAAGATGAAGAGGATGGTGGACGATCCCAGGAGGCTTCACTGACGAACCCACTGTTGATGCCGTCAGCTCTCGGGTAGCTTTGTCCTGCACCACTCGCCTAATTTCATGGATACAAATTCAAACATGCCAAAACAAGTTAATGTTAAATCTGACAAGAAAATACGAGCCTTGGAAAGGTACTGCAAGTACAGGCCAGTATCATTCCAAAAATTATTGGAGGTTACGTGAACTATGATAAATCAACTATCGTCAAGAATGAGAAAAAAAGAAACTGTGTCGATAATAATGAATAAGAATTGCTACCAACGAACAGTACATGATGCTCAATGAAACTTTTTGGTTTCCTTGATTGCATTAAAAAGAAAGAAATCTGGTTACTTAACATCAAAAGGGGCTGTAAACTTACAGTTTCCAAGCAGGCGGATAGTAGTGCCATGCCCGGCAATGCATCAATTCCACGCTACATGCAGATGCAATTGACTCGACGTAAATATCGAACAATAACAGTACATTTCATAGAAAAGAAATCTGACCACAATGGCGTCAAACAATAGCTTACCTGGCCTTGCATTCGTGCCTTATAAACAAATCCTCCACAGCAAAATAGTGATGCTACGACTATGAATCTGCTCATCACAATTTTTTCAGGCATCAAAACCAAAATAATTATTTTAACCAGGTTATTGAGAAGTTAATCTTAAGTCGTCGATCAATAGAGAAAGATATTGCAGCTGAGAAGGCCACTTCAATGAAAACACCACAAATCACCATCATCTAGATGATAGTAATATTTTCTAAGCCACCCAAAGCATGCAGAGGGAGACCGGGGGCCCAGTTACTATGCAATATATATATATATATATGTGTGTGTGTGTGTGTGTGTGTAGACTTCACAGCATCCAAACTGTTTTAACACCTAAATATCAAGGTACTTCACAGACAGATGATACTGAATACTCGGGGTTACCAAAAAGATTAAGAAGAAAAACTTGACATACATGCAAGAGAGTATTCCAAATGTGGCCCATCCTTTCATAGAATCTCCTTGTACGTCCTGCCTTGCTTCTGCAAAATATGAAACACAAAGCTAAACTTAGGTTACTTTCACGCCTTAAAGAAAAGAACAATCATGATAGACAACGTTGTATTTCCTGGATTACACTAAATTCAGTTCTAACTAAAACTTCAATTTAAAGATTGTATGGGTGATAAGTTTCTTGAGAAAGATAGATTCTCACCACACGTCTTTGTAAGAAAAAAAATAATAGGTTCATAATCAGCCACAGGGATCGTGACATTAACTTCATATGGAACATCTCTGGCAATAACACCTGAGATAATTACTAGTTTGTGACAATATGAGGGTTATAAATACTGATAAGTTATTGAGAAATCCATGGCAAAAAAAATCCATACATCTCCAGTTAATCATCAACATTGAGGGTGACAAAGTTGTAGGGTAGCTCCCAGTTGCCCCTGAACCTGACACTTTCACCTCAAGTCCATTTTCTGGAAAAACCTGCAAATGTTTTAATCAGATTGCATCAGCTACCAAGAATATCAATTTGTAAATTTTTATTCAACTAACTCACGATACCTGAATGATTGGTTTCTGTACCAAAGAGGAAAGCGATGCAACGGCAGTCATATGAAGAACCACACCAGTCTGCTCTGTGCTGAAGCTGAAGATGTAAATGTGAGGTTTAATAACTGAGATGAATGGATCTTCTATCACTATCGAAGTGAAAGACTATAATGGAGGGGGGGGGGGGGGGGGGGGGGGGGGGGGGGGGGGGGGGGGGGGGGGGGGGGGGGGGGGGGGGGGGGGGGGGGGGGGGGGGGGGGGGGGGGGGGTATGGGACAGTGGGCTTTTACCTGAATGCACGGTGTGGCTTCTCAAAGCCTAATTGAGTTAAACCATTGTAAACCTGGGCATTAAAGTATATCTTTGTAAATAATCCAATCGAAGTTTTTTTTTTCTATACCATCTTGAAACGACAAAAGGTTCTTACAATTTCCCAGGATCTAGGGTGAAAGCCAACAGTAAATCCTTTGAAAACACGTGGGCCTTGTATCACACAAGGGATGGCTAAGTCGACAATAACTCTGAGGTAGATAACAATTATAAGTGAGTTACTTTCTCTGCGCAAGAGAACTTCCCTTTTCTAGAAATAATGTCTCAAATCCCACGCATTAAGAAGCATCCCTAATTAGCATTCTAAATTTTGGAGTAAACTGTTGACATTGACCGTTCGCTTCTTTTTTCTTCCATAAGAAATCTCCAATCATTCAATTTATTACAAATATTAACGAAAATAAGACTGGCTTTCTGCCTGGTTTAGATTTGATTATCACTATAACACTAACATGACGTGACATTATTTAGAAATTTCTCTACCAGGCTGATAAGGCCCACATCCATGTTAATTGAGTCCAAAAAATGGATCGCAGGGGAGGTGGTGCAACTGCAGTACAGTAAAAAAAAATGCACGTCCAAAGGAGTGAGTGCAGTTGTTTATATTTCTGCATGAGGGTGTCACATGAATTTCTGGATGAGAGTGGACCCAATCAAGTTAGATGTGGAGTCGTTAGAATAAAGGAAGAATATTAGAAGGAGAAGGCAGGAAAGCGATGGGTACAAATTTGGATACCTCTTTGGATACCTCAAGCCACTGCCATTGATTCGTCACATTTCCACATAATACAATAACAGCAATGAGGCTAATTTAATCGCTGGCAAGGGATTCAATAATGAGTGCTTACTATTGCCATAAACTAGACTCTAATTAATTTAGAACTTCAGATGACAGATTCTTTACTTCAATGTTCGATACTGTTCACTTTTCTTGGGTAGAAGTGTTTAGCCCAGCCAACAACAAATATGCAGTTGAAAGAAACAACTATGCATGATTTTCAAGAAGATTTGGAACCCATGCTTCAAAAAAAAAAAAAAAAAAAAAAAAGTTTTTATCCATCTACCATGTTCTGACAGAGTTGCATAAATTTCAATAAATAAGCCATTTACTTCAATCTACTTATCATGTAAACCTCAAAATCATCATTCAAGGATTGCAAACATGTTTAGATTCAGAGAATTTAAAAATCAACTATTTAAAAGAAATCAAGGTGTTCTGCTCAAGACCTGCAACTGGACTCATAAGTGATATTGCAGATGCATCCGAGACCACCTATAATCAGATGAATGAATGTGTATCATCATTAGTTGCAACATATTCCAAGTGCATTAAGATCAAACATGTTCATACAATTCTCAGGAAAGGC